TGAAATGCATAATGTGAAAAGATCAATAGGCGTCAAGTCTTAGAAGCATGGACTTGAATTTATGTTAGACAAAATACAAATGTAATCTCTGAGTCTTGTTCCTTGAGTACTCTGTCATCTTCTAGTAGTTTGCTTTCATTCTCCTCGGTCACAGTTTTGAATTTAAACGACATTACCGCAGGTACTAGAAGATCGTAAAACAGTGTTCTGCGTAAATGGCCCCTTACCGCAGAAATGCGCTATCGCAACGTATTATAACCATGAATTTGCGGCTGTATCTACTAGGTAAAAAGTTCTATTCAGCACTTCATTTCTTTTCGACTTAGAAGAATTTTATAGCGATTAATATTTTAACGCGATAGATTTTGTCGCTGATTTTTATTGCTCGTGCGACGTAACTGCATGTCTGTTTTATTAGTTTATTTTCGGTGTTACGAGTCGTTTCTAAAATTTCGAAGAATAGTTTATATTAGACATTTTTAGCCAGGATAGCCAGTTTTTGGCCATAACAGTATGACATGCCCAGATACTGAAAATATCCACAATCTGCCTAAATATTTTAAACTGATAAACGTAAAAGAAAGGTAAGAGGAAGTTCTAGCCATGAAAAATACAGTCAAACCACGTCTGTTTCTGCGTGATCGTAAATTTTCATGAACTTTTTCATTTCTGTCGACTGTAACGTGATTTTTTCTTCTCGCCTTACCCTCACCTCGCATCCCGGTTTTGCGCTTATTTTCTGCTCGCTCCGTCGGCGTTTCCTTTGTAAATAAATGCGAGCAAGTTTTAGTTCGTAAACTTTATCTCATCTGTTTCGTTTCAGTATTTTATGAGTACATTAAGCAGTACGAGATTTAAAATAATGTCTAAGGGCTGGGTGCTAAATTCTGAGACTTACCCATTTCTCTTTCTTACTGTTCCGTTCGCTGTGTATGATATCTGTTTTTGCGGTCTAGTCTAAGAATTAGGCTGAGTAATTCTGAAAATATCACAGAAATGGTTTATTGAATGGCGCATCGATTATTCTATTCTGACGTTAGTAACACAACTGTCAACTATACGAACTTAAAAGTTTATGAAATAGCGACCGAAACGGTGGCAGTAGCCTATCGCAGCAGTAATTCTACTTTATGTCATAAAGAATAGCACAAAACTGTTAATGTCGCCACGCAAATTGCTCATAGGCGTATATCTCCTTTATAACCGGGCTTCGCGTTATATGGCAACTTATTTGTTGGTAAATGCCTGTGGATCATTTAAGCAGGTTACGACTTAATATTTGAGCACCTGCCATGCATGCCCATCTTCTATCACTATCGTTAGTTCGTCGTCACTGATGTTTTACTGGACGATGCCTCTGCGCCTCTCCCAGCGGCATCAAAATGGGAGTTTACATACAGAGAGTTTGTTAGTAAACGTATACTCTACCAAACTGGGTTTTACGGCATTTTAGCATGTCTTAAATTTATTTTCAGTGAACCCTGGTGGCTGGGCGCCGTCATCTGCGTTGCGCGCTGTGTACAAACGAGAGTACCCGAAATTTCTCAAACGATTTACGAATTATGTATTGCAGAAAATAGACAAGACAGAAATTCGTCTTCACTGAACTTTGTTAATATTTTTATGTATCTGTATAAAAAGGACACACGCCGAAGATGTCTCGTTTTACACAGCTGTATGAAAACCTTTCTCTAGATCCTCCGTATTTTATGAGCGCTCCAGTCTTTAGTCTTGTGAAGATCGCGAAGGCAATCTGATCTGTGTTCAGCGTTCCGTGCCGATTTATGTCTTTCCATTCTAGTCCTGTTAACAACGTGCAGAAGAGTTCCACTCAGGCACATGACCAAACCGACAATATTCATCACCGACATGATGTCGCCTTTGTAATAATAAGCGATTACCAGTGTAACAACTTCCTGAAAGTTCTGTAAAGAATGGGTATTTCCGTAACTTTACTACCTTCAATACTGAGCAGACACTGAGCGTCAGACTGGAGGTATAAAGAAGCAAGAGATATTCGGTCAGTTCCATCACCGTTGCCAGCATGCCGCCAAAACATATAAGAAGTGACGTCCTTGACAAGTACAACGATTCATGTCCTTCCGGCGAGGCAAGCAGCAGCGATAGCCTCTTGCCTGATGACGACATGAGGCATATTAATTGCAAAAACGCCCGCCCGAAACTGGGGTAGGACAGATGCATTCATACCTTCAAAATAAAGGCACAGCGGCAGGATACCGAGAATCATCCACGGCTGCACGTGGTACATCATGTCGAACGGGTCGGAAAGTCCTAAACAAAACAACCTGCGTTGATATCATCGCAACTGGTAACCTGTAAATGCCTCGGACGTCTCTCTGCACCAACTTCTGGCACACCGCCCATCGAACACCACAGCACAGTGCGGCAGCCTCGGTCATCAAAAACCCCTGCCAGTTGAACTGCGTTGACTTGTAATTGAACAATAGTAGACCGGCGCAAATCAGGCCGGCAACGCTACCATTGAGCACGTTCTAAAGCAGACACTTAATGCCAACCTAAGCAAATTCTCAAGAAATGCCTTATATATGTATAAAGGCAGAGAACAACGATAGTACGTTTCGAGAAAATTATTCAGAACTTTCGGTTCAGTCCAACGTAAAAAAAGCGTCACTGATTGTTGGTCGCACATAAACACAGAGACAGTAGATATTAGGCACTGCATCTAAGTGTTATTTCTGTCTCTTTATTCATCCAGTGTGCAAAATATTATTACTAGCAGTTGTTCTTGCCTTCTGTAACTGTCACTGACATAAGCGTAACTTACTGATTTGTTTCACTCTGCGCTGATTTAGCCAGGTCGACATTTGAAGCATTTGCTTTCCCATTCGAGAAGCTTACGAACTTTAGTAAAGGGCTTGTGCTCGATCAGTTTGTCAAACAGGACACCGTTTTCCTAATCTGCACTTCTATTAGCATACATGTCGGAAGTGGAATAAAATTTTTTTACACTACCCTCCCTTTTACCATTCATTGTAAGCTAATGTTCGCTGATCATCGATCCTACAAGTCCTTCGGTAGACTGGATTTTATGCCGTATAGCAACATGGACGTAAACAAGACAAGGTAGAGGCGGTTTCGTGGAAACGAATATCTTTTTACCACCTCAAACACAAAAGAGACTGCTAACAAAGAGAAAACTCGAGAACCTGCTCGTCTTGCCCTGAAATGTTAAGAATCATAAAGACCACATTTCCGAACAATCGGTTGAGTGGTGGAGCAATAGTAACACCTCATGTATCATGAGATCTGTTCCATTGCCTAAATGCGACTGGTGGCTGGTTAAATGAAACGTCAGACTTAACAGTCCATCACCTATTTATTTCTGAAGTTCAAACATTTAATTTTGTTAAAACCTAAGAAAGGCACTCGGAACTCACCCCATTTCTGGAAATAAACGCCAGCTAAAGAAAAATGGCAACAAATTCCGATGTTTACAGCAACTGAACCGAATAAAAGCAGCACAGCTGTAAAGGAATTTCCTTGAGACTTATTTTAGTTATAAAAGCAAACAGAAGTCACAGCTCGTAAAATAATGCAAAAAGTCACTGCCAGATTTAACGTAACCGGCATTTGTGACTGCATTTCGCAATAAAATGCGAATTTCATATTCGAAATGCATGAAGTTCAATTTGCGAGTGCCAAGTGTCTAAAATCGAACAGTCAGATAAACTGTGTGAGAAACGCTGATCCAAGAACATCACATGGAGTCACTACGCACAAACAACCCCAGGTAAGAATAGCGATACCATTACACATGGTGCTGAACGGATTTCCGTCTAATCTGAACCGTCCGCTTCCTCGTATCGTTGCTCAACAGGTTGTTCACTTAGCGGAAAGATTACGCCGGTTCTTACCCTTAGCTTAAGACTTTCTCTGTGTCGTAATGGCAGGACGCTCATGCGGTTTAGGCAAAGGTCTCAAGCCTGCTATACAGTGGTTGCAGACAGACTAATTGAGCCACTGCAGACGATTTCTATCCTGCCCCAAGTGGAGGAGAAAAGGGGAAAAGTTGTTCGGGCCGCAAATCGTAATCAAACGATCCGTCTTTTTACAAAATCTTCAGTGGGCAACTAGTGTAAATAAACTGCGAAACGAACGAACCGCTATATGCAGAAAGAAAGACAACTTCTTGCGCGCATACCGTTGCCACTGGGGTTAGCGACGAAAACAGGTAAAATGAAGAAAAAGCAACAGTCAAATATCAACTTACACATGACTCCAGCGACAGGAAAACGGATACGAGAAGGATGAACAGAATGCTGGTCGATTTAGCCATCGTATACCTGAAGTTAAACAACAGCGCTAGAAACACAGCGACACTGCACAGTAAGTGTTTATGATTGGATCCTAACCGTTTAAGTTCTGGCCATCGAGATACATGAGTTAGGGAACTGCAGGGATATTGTGACGCAAACTGTGGTTCATTATAGTATATACATTTTTCCTAAACCACAACGCGAATGCCTTGTTCACCACTTCGTCGAGAACTGGAAAAAACCAAAAACGAGGGATCACTTGCCGTAGCAAAGTATCCAATAGAGTTAATTCTCATTACTTTCGTACTATGACAGCGACAGACCTTCTTTCCTACGGCACACCAACAGGCAAATGTTATTCAGTTTCGATGACCGCTTCCTTCCGGGTCGCGGAGACAGATGCGACACAAGTGTTTCCAACGTTCTGATCCTGTTAAAGAGTCTGAGCTTTGGCAGAACAGAGTCTAGAGAAGACCGTGTCGAAACACTTGCCAATGTCATTTTTGGCCGTTTCCGGGGTCATCGTCATCTGAGGGTCGGTTGGGAAGAAATAGTTGCTTCTTTTTTGGAAGCATTCGCTAGCGAGCATAACCATCGCAGTTGTGACTTCTAGATCTGGAGAAGCAGCGGATGAACACCAAAGCAACATTATTACTCCGGACGATGTCGAGATGCGAGCCCAGCGATTGGTCCCAGAAAAACCATTTCAGTCGATTGCACCCGGGATAAAAGTTTTTCAATCATGTCCCACGACCTGTGATCACAGATAAGCATGGGCATCAAGATCGTCAATAAATACAGATAGATCTGTCTTCAGACTCAGCTCTGTGTTACAACGATTGGGCTACTTTACGCAGAATGCCGCTAGCCATTCCACTTCTCCATTTTTTCATCACCAATAAACACGACCCTGATGCACCGGAATTTCTTCACCTGCTCCACTGCTTTTCCGTTTATCTGAAGATAATACCGGGCAGGAGAACGAGAAAGCATTAGGCTTCTCTTTTAAAAACGTTTACAAGCATGCCGGCCACGTCGTTCTCGGCTGCGAACCTTTCTAGAGAGCGCTGTAGATCAATTTCAGAAGATTACAACAAAACTAGGTCGTCTGCTAATAGCAACCTTCTCCTCCCCACATCTCTTACGGTGATGCATCCCTCACCCTGGCTGTGCCTGACTATTCCATTCATGTACAGCATGAAAAGGAGAGGGGACAGAGCGCAGCCTTAGCGGAGACCAGTGCCAATGCTGAAAGGTTTCGACTTGACGCCATTAACTCCGACGCAGCACCGCCTATCCCCGACTTCGTTAAGGAGAATCCAAGTAACTCCTGTTCTGTCCCTTTAAA